CTGGATGTAGGAAAGTCTGAAAACCTCTTCGAATTCTTCTGTGACCTCTTCTCATCTGGTAGTATCACCCAGGGATATGACGATGTCACTGCCATCGCACTCATATGCCCTCAATTGTAATAAAGCACATAAAGGTCCTCAAAATATTGTCTAAACTGAAGCCAGGTAAATCACGTGGGTCCGATGAACTTCACTCTAAACCGTTAATTTTCTTGGTGGATATAATATACATTCCACTTACGGAGATTTTCCAGATGTCTCTGACCCAGACTTAGCTACCTAGGGACCGAAAGGATGCCATTATAAGCACTATCTTCAAAGAGGCGGCCTGATAATTGGTATCTAACTACCGGCTAGTAAGTCTGACACGCATTATAGCAAGGGAATCGGAAAATCTTATAAGGGATCAGCTACTAGCTAATGTAACCTCGCCAGATTACTAGCTTTCTAGTTTTCTAGCCTGTCCCGAACCAGGATAAAGAGGGAGGGTTGGGGCGTGGTGCGACCAACCCCACCCCTGTAAAACAACCAAATCGCTACAGAAACTTCGAAGAATAAATACATTAAAAATTCTAAGAAAAAACAATAACCTTAGTTTTTGCTGGAATCGGGGAAGTGAAATGACGCAGGCTGGTGAAAGCCTTCGGGAAGCCAGTCAGCCGATGTGCCTTCTTCTTTCGATGAAAGCAAAAGTAAGGATGGGTACCTGGAATGTTCGCACAATGTACGAAACTGGAAAGGCTGCCCAGATAGCCGCTGAAATGAGAAGGTACAGAATAGAAGTGTTGGGAATCTGCGAGAGCAGATGGAACGGAACTGGAAGGTGCCAACTACCTACTGGAGAGACAGTAATCTATTCCGGCCACCCAGAGGACAACCACGAGCACACCGAGGGAGTGGCCATCATGATGTCACCAACAGCAGCCAAAGCTCTCATGCAGTGAGAACCAATCTCCTCCAGGATAATGACAGCCAGGTTCAACTCAAAAGGAAGGAAAGTTACAGTCATTCAATGTTATGCGCCTACAAACGTCTCAGAACAAGAGAAGAAGGAGGCGTTCTACAGACAACTACAAGCAATAATGGACAACGTCCCAAATGGCGATATCAAAATCCTGATGGGCGACATGAATGCGAAGCTGGGAGGAGACAACACAGGAAGAGAACTCACCATGGGTCGTGAGGCCCTCGGTGAAATGAACGACAATGGTGAACTCTTCTCAGACTTCTGCGCCTTCAATGATTTGGTGATTGGCGGTAGTGTGTTCAAACACAAGGATATACACAAGACGACATGGATTTCACCAGATGGAAACACCAAGAACCAAATAGACTTCATCTCAATTTCAAGAAAGTGGAGACGGAGCCTACTGGACACAAGGTCAAGGAGAGGAGCAGATGTGGGTTCAGACCACTATCTAGTACAAGGGACTTTCAAGGTGAAACTAAAGGCCTCGAGGATAGCTGGGGATAGACCACAATGCAAGTTCAACACTCAGAAACTGAAGGACACAACCACAAAGAACACTTTCACTGCAACTGTCAGAGCAAAGCAGGAAACACTACGCGACATCACTGAAGAATCATGCGTGGAAGAACATTGGAAGTCTCTGAAGGCGATTCTCAACGAAACGTGTTCAACGGTTCTAAGAAGGAAGAAAGGACAAGACAAGGAATGGCTCTCAACGGACACTTGGAAATTAATAGAAGAGACGAGAATGGTGAAAGAGAAAATGATTCAATGCAAGGACGGACAGGAGAAGGAGACGCTGAGCTCAACTTATAAAGCACTGGACAAAGAAGTGAAGAAGAGTGCTAGGAAGGACAAAAGACGATTCTACGACAACCTGGCCACTGAAGCTGAGAAGGCAGCAGGCAAAAGGAACCTGAGGACATTATATCAGATAACCAAATCTCTATCCGGGAAGAGATCAACACAAGTGAAACCTATAAAAGACAGCCAAGGGAACCCAATTACCAAGGAAGAAAAACAGATTAAACAATGGGCGGATCACTTCAAAGGACTCTTGAACCGACCATCACCTGCAACCCGTCCAGAAATACCAACAACAGCACGCACACAACTGCAAGTTGACACCAATCCTCCAACGAGAGCTGAAGTCTTGAATGCAATCAAGCTTCTGAAAGCTGGAAAAGCAGCTGGACCAGATGGAATACGCCCTGAAGCACTGAAAGCGTACCCAGAGACTACAGAAGACATGCTGACTCCATTATTGCAAAAGGTCTGGAAGGAGGGAAAGGTGCCTACTGACTGGAGGAAAGGTTACCTCGTGAAACTACCAAAGAAGGAAGACTTACACCTCACTCTGCAAGAACTGGCGAGGAATCATGCTCCTATCGACGCCAAGTAAAATCCTGAGTCGCATCATCCTGGAGAGATTAAAGGACGCACTGGAGACAGAACTCCGACCAGAACAAGCTGGATTCAGGAAAGCCAGGCAAATCATGTACTGACCAAATTGCAACTCTACGCATAATCATCACAGAAAAAAGCATGGAATGGCAATCAAATCTCTCCCTCAACTTTATAGACTTTGAGAAGGCCTTCGACAGCGTTGACCGCGAAGTAATTTGGAAATTACTCGAGTACTACGGCGTACCCCAAATATTCATCAACCTTATTCAACAGCTGTGTGACAACGGCACATGTCAAGTGATCCACGACGGAAAACTCAGTGAGGCGTTTGGAATAAACACAGGAGTCAGACAAGGGTGCTTATTATCTCCAATGATGATATTCCTAATTGTGGTCGACTGGATTATGCGTCAGACAGTGAGAAACGAGAAGACAGGAATATCCTGGACAGACCGACGTGAAGAACCTAGAAGACCTGGATTTCGCGCATGGATGATTTATGTTTGATGTCACACAAAATCGAAGACTTAGAGGCAAGCGAAAACCGACAAACTGGTCGAGGAAGCAGGTGGTGAAGACAGGACTCCACGTGAACATAGACAAGACGGAGGTTATGAAAATAACCAACCAACCAACAGCAACAACATCAACAGCAGAAACATCCAGTGTCAATCACCATCAACGGGAGGGATTTGAAAGAGGTTACTTCATTCACTTACTAATCTAGAGTGCATCGTCTCCACTACAGGAGGAGCGGACGAGGATGTCAAATCGAGCGAGAACCAAGTAGGTGAGAAACACATTCATCAGCCTGAAATCAATCTGGAAATCTTCGTCACTCAGCCAGCATCAACAACAAAATTCAGTCGGATTTTCAATACAAACGTCAAGTCAGTCAGTTCTTCTATACGGATCAGAAACTTGGCGGGTGGGTCACAAAGAATATTTCCAACAGCCTGTTGCAGACCTTTATCAACCAACAACTGTTTTCGCTGGCTCTATACTGAAGATCAGATGGCCGGGCCGGAAAGAATCACCAACAAGGAACTATAGAAACAAACAAAACAAGAACCAATAGCCAATAAACAAATGTGCAGGAGAAAGTGGAGATGGATTGGTCACTCGGTGAGGAGACAGCTGGGTGACATCACGTGTCAGGTCATTGCTCGAGTGGAACCCGAAAGGGAAGCGGCGTGTGGGACGTCGCTGCAAGGGTGACATGGAGGAGATCGTGTGAAGAGGAGTTGAAAGAGTATGGACTAACGTGGATGCAGGTGAAAAGTACAGCAGAAGACAGAAGCAAATGGAGAAGTGCAGTTGAAGCCCTATGTTCCACTAGGAACCCAAGGGTGCAATAATACTGAGAATACTAGCTTATGTTGAAACACATTGATTTCTGGTGGTGAAACGGCATGGATTCCGAGCAGGACAGTCCTTCCTGACAAATCCACCACTGGCTAGGGAAGGCTGGGTTGAGGCCAGACATAAAAACCTGTTGGACGTAGTTTTTATCGATCTTAGCAAGGCATTCGATAAAGTATCCTACTTAGGTCTCCTTAGTAAACTTAAAGGTTTCGGACAAGACCAATACCTATGTGATTTGTTTAGGGATTTCCTAATGGATAGAAGGCAGAAGGTTGGAGTTAACTGTGTACTATCAGGGTGGAAAGCATTATCCAGTGGAGTGCCTCAGGGAACTGTATTAGGCCCCTCGCTATTCCTATCATGCGTTAATGAACTACCGGTGATTCTAACTTCACCTTCATTATTATTTGCGGACGACATTATGATCTGAAAAGCTGTAAATAATACCGGGGATAAGTCGGCCTACAAAGTGATCTAGATAAATTAGCTGAGTGGTCGAGCCTGTGAAGTTTGGAAATGAATTCTAAGAAAAGCGCGGTAATGCACTTAGGTCAGAAGTCTTATACCTCGTATTCCCTGGGGGCACGGAACTACCCGATGTTAACGGACAGAAAGACCTAGGAATCACTATCAGCAATACTTTTAAAACAAGTGGAAATTGCAATGCAGCCGCAGCTAATGCTTTTCGAATGCTGTGGGCACTTCGAACGATTAGACGAAGGCATATTCCAAATACTCTACACAACATATGTCAGGCCTTATCTAGAATACTGCATACAAGCAGCGAGTCTGTACTTCAAAAAGGAGGCACATATCCTGGAAAGAGTACAGAGAGTAAGAACGGAATTAGTTAGTGGTATCTCACACCCTCCTTATGATAAGAGGATGGAGCATTTAAATCTGTTCCCCTTTATCATACCGAAGGAAGAGAGGAGACTTAATTTTAGTATACCGTATACTTAAGGGTGATTTAGGGACTGAACTTTCTAAACTTTTCTCCCCTTCTAGGATATATTTACGGGGTCACCGCAAGAAGGTGCTCAAACTAAGGATGAATAAAATACATTTGTAATTTAGATTCTCTCACAGAGTGGTGAACGACTGGAACTCCTTACATGATTCACTAGTGTCAGCTCCATAGGTGAAGGCTTTCAAAGAGAAGTTAGATCTCTGCAGAGATATATTTTGCAAGGATTAACACAGGCCACAAGAGCCTTCTCTCCTTATCATCTGAATCTGAATATGTTGAACATTTATTACACTTGGAGTACCATTTGACACTCAAGGTTGACTCGCGTCGTTTCAACAATTCTGTAATTACTAATGTCTAAGGAGCATGGGGGTAGGTTTCACTGATGCTATTACATAATCCAACGCTTTTTCTATATTCGTATTACTAAATGGTATGTTACATGTTTTATATATCTATATATACATACATGTTCAGTGACATTTGTTACATGTTCCTTTTTGAAATTTTCTGTAACCAAAGACATTATCGCATAGTTAATTAACTTTTGAGTGACTTTAGACAGAACGGTTTTGCATATACCAACCAGGAGATTAAGCCAATCATTGTTTTTGGACGTGAAGCTCAGTGGTTGATTGACATGATATCATATTTGAGAAAATTGCACTATCAAATGAGACAAAACTATTAAAGACACATTTCTTTCGAACAAGAGATGTGTACGGAGTCATTCTTCTGCACTCAACCTGCTGATAATGAAACCTCAAACTATGATTACGAGAATTATATTGCATTCTTTTAACTTCGTTCGGTTTTATGCTGATGCTTATGGTCAACCAATGAACAACATACATTTGGGAAGAAAAGAACGTCTTCAGAAACCGCAATATGGAACAGTCACGGATAAAGCATCATTGAAAGTATCAACAACATTCACAGTAGTAACAGTCTTAACACACCTCATACTACAAACCACTTATAATTAATCCCAGCACTACCCCCTTTGGAGTCAACCAAAGCTACGATAGTCGAGTGGCAGGACGAGCTACGCATAAGTTTACCGAAGACCAGGAACCTATACCTTACAATCAAGAAGCGAGCACAAAGAAATCAAATTGGTTTATACTAGCTCGTAAAAACGATATTGAATATTGGAAGTGGTTTTAATAATAGTGCTCCGAAGTAGCTTTTGATGTCATTTAAGTAGTGAATGCCAAAATATCTTGAAAATGTTAACCCTTATTAAAGTTGTACTCATGATAATTTTCGCTCTTACCAAAAGGAAAGACAGTGGCCGACTAGTATCATGTAGGCGTCATCTGCACTTGAATTGAGAAGTGTTGATGACTCTAGGGGGTAAAGTTGTCTCGCACGACGGGTTTGATTTTTACATATGCAGTTAGCAACCCCTTTCGTGCTTAGGACTGAGAGCAAACTGCGTTAGATTATGCCAAATGTCTCACAAACTCAAAAATTCACGAGCGCAAACCAAAATTTTGGTTGTTGCGACAGCGGAACATGACTTTATCGGACATGGGAATTTGGTGACGAAAACATCTGACTATTAACAAACACAAATCACTAGTGAGACATACTTGAAAATGTCCTCTATTACATCTCTGACGTAGGCAGAATGGTCTCAGCTATAGACAGAACAGAAGATGTCAAAGCCAGCTGAAATCGGGAAAGCAAGATAGTCGTTCATCTGTGATGAGAATATTTAACAATAATTTCAAACCAATGCTTCTATATATCTTGATGATTTGGTGTGTCACCAAGAGCATTTATAACATACCAGACTTTCATTGTTACGTATATTCGTTACCAAAGATAACCAGAAAAGATCAGCAACAAGAGACTGTCGCAGATAACCAGCTAAAAACTTATTGCTCAACAAATGGATTGGTCTTAAGCTGAGGGGACCGGCCAGTGATGTCACACACCAGGTCCTTGAACGAAGTGTGATGAGTTGATTGTCTAAGGGTAACAGTGAGGTGTTAAATTGACGAGGAAGTGAAGGCTTGTAGGTAGTCACGGAGCCAGCTAAGAGAAGTGCCAGACAATCGGGTACCATGGAGGTGTACCGCTGAATTTCCATGTTTTACTCGAAATGCAAGAGAAGAATAATGATAATAATATACCTATGATAATAAACATAACGCCGCGTGCAGAAGAAAACATCGCTTTTATATTATAAATGAATTAGGTATTGTAAACAAGTAAATCACTATACGTAAAAATAAGACAAGTTCCAATGAAAATTAAGTTATAAGAGTATTGGATGCATCAAAACCAAAGGCTACTTGAAGTAAAACTTAGATTCACAGTTATATAAAAAACAGAGGTTGAACTAAGCAGTAATTGTTGAGTTTATGGAAAGAGCAGCAAAGGAATTTGTTTGGACATAGTTTTGTGGGATTAAAATCTGATTTTAAAATGTGTTAAATGAGGACGTCGCGGAAGTCTTAGGATGTAGTGTAACAGATTGATGACTGAAGTCTTATTTATTAAATCAACCGGGAATAAGTGGAATAGGAATGATTGAACAACTATCCTAGGTAATTTGAAATCTTACTACCCTTACGACTAATGAGAAAGAACAAAAAATATAAAACCCGGGTTTTGATGTTGTGTAGTGACAGTTAGTGTGATTATCAGCAAATCTAATTCCGAACGTCACATAATCGATAACACTGTTTAACTAAGTGATGTGTCAAAATATTGGTATGGGATATCATATTACCGAAGTGTTGAAGTTTTACTCATTTTAATTTTGTATATTTGCCGTTACTGCCATTGTATTACAGACTGCGACACATCCCATCTTGTCAGAATCTAGCAAATAAATACTGTTGTTCGCTCAATTCGCAACACAATGACGTCAACACTTGCCGAGTTTCAATTGCTTGCATCATGAATTAATGTTGAGTTTATTTTGGTTTAAACTTAAACATCAAATACATCAACTTTTGAATGTATCTTTTGAACTGTTTATCTTTCATTTTCGAACTTTAAGGTGTAACATGTAACGGATGTTCACGTAGAGATTTCAGATTTAGACGATATAAGTGTCTTGTGTGCCGCGATTATGATCTTTGTGGAACGTGTTTTGATAATCAGCAAGAAACGGACAAACATTCAAGTTATCATCCGATGCAGTGCTTAATCACTAAAGCTGACCATGATATATTCTACTGCGGAGAGGTAAGTGACATCTTTTGATTTTCCAAAATACTATCATCGTGTAAAAGGATAATTAATTAGACTAGAAAAGAAGGATTAGCAATAGCAATGTTGGTAGAGGTTAGTGCAGTAGTGTTCGACGATGAGGCTATAAATTGTTTGGTTATAAGGTTGTCTTTCATTTGACCTTTCGTCTGCACCCATCGTAGTCTCAGCCACCCAGGAGTATTATCGGTTGGGAGTCATTGGCACACATTACGTGTGAGAATTATTTTATACACGTCCACACGTGGCCTTTAATCACTCCTTATGAGTTCAAAGTCACTAGGTGAATAACCGTACAACTCGGTAGCCTGGTAAAGGTGAGTGTTTTAAACAATGATCTACACGTGGTAAGCGAGGGTCTACTAAACCACCTGGTTGCTAGCGCAAAAGTAGATAAATTTTAGCATTTGGGGCTAAATGTATGAAAGTTTAATGCCTTAACCAATAAACTGTGCCAGCATTCCGTCTTGTTCAGTTCATTTGATGTATAAGATCCTCTGTGGTTTCCTTAACTTAATTCATAACAGTGTGTATCGATTTCTTAGTTTCCTCATATGACCCTGTTTTTATGTAGGTACTCACCGTCTCCAAATAGCCTGACTTATCTAATATTACTGCTGGACTCCCTTTGTCTAATTTGGTGATTATTCAGTTCAAGTCAAATAACTATTTTTCTGTTGACGACACTAGCACTAATGTCTGTTCTTCAGTATATGATCCGTAAATACTTCCAGTATCCTTTTATAGTTGTCTATGATAAAACATCCTTTGTTTCTTTCGGTTTTGTAGTCATTGGATACATAAACAGAGACATCAGCAGGTAGCACCATCTCTTCATAGTTTCATGTGTCCCTGCAACCAGATAATACAAACAACTCTTTCAGGTAGTTGAAGTTCAGTTACAAAGACTTTCCATAAACTAGGCCATAAGCTACATTCATTCTGTGATGATACCTTCCAGTCGAGCTGGCTGAAATAAACGAAGCGGGACCTGAACCAGATACTCTCTGACTGTATATCAAGTGTTTCAGCCAATGAGCCATATTTTCATAATACAATTCACCATGTGGTGGAGATGGTACTAAATGTGGACAGTCACACTTGCGTCTCATGCGCATTCATTGTAGATGCTAGAAATTCTGTTACTCAGGCTCGCTGTCTGTTTCTACATAGTGTCTCGGTATTAGCAACTGACGAGTCTCCAACGCATAATCAACGACCTTTTGTGTAGATTTAAAATACATCTTGCTCTCATTTTTGTTCAAATTCATTGTTGAATAACAATGCACCTTTACATGTAAATGTATGTCGTGTATTTTATCTGTTTATATAAAACTGAGAAGAAAAGTAAGAAGCAATTTACCTATCAATGAACTACAGTATTTATTTTTAAATATTTTCATAATATCATTCTTTACCACTACAGTTTTATGTTGGTTTCTATATCTCTTTTAATAAACCTAGTCTCAATTTGACTATGCATTTTTCAGGGTTCTGCGAAACATTGTGTCCAAAGTTTCACATGTTCAGTTTGTGGTCAACTGGGTTTCACAGAGTCGTCTTTATCGAATCATGTTTTTTCTAATCATCCAAATGCTGGTGATTCAGAAGTACTTTGTCCCTTCTGTGCAATACACACTGAAGGTGATCCTAATCTTACAACACATGATATTGCAAGTCATTTCAAAAGTGTGCATAATCTATCACCTTCAGTCAATGAGAAGAGTAAGCTTCTTGATTTTGTTCTTCACATTACCGTGCTTCTTCCATTCTGTTTGTTTATAATGAACATCGCCTTTCCACTGTTTGTTGTTTATAGTTTACAGTTCTTCGTAAGCTGTCTTATTAATTTCACGTGATGGGATCTTCCATGTTCACCGACGTTGGAGTTGCAAGCAACTTGGATACAAGCACTTCAGTCCGCGAGCCTGAAACAACGGGTTGTTTTTAGATGATAGGTCTCTGTGTTCCTTAAAATTTACTTCCGTTCTAAACGCAATAAGATAAAAGTAAAGCAGCTTTAAGGTATTGGGGCCAAGGAATTACTATAATTTCTGAATACGTTACTGGTTTATGGCTAAAATCATGTTTAAAAGTCACTTCACTTGACCAGTAATAACATGTTATTGGATTAGTCACGACCTGAAATAGACCAAATGCATCTGTACTTCGTTTTTTAGTCTGATGCATTGATTTCGTACACTGCTTTACCTTCACATTCCTTCCTGGAAATCATTTGTGTAAGAGAGTTATAGGAAGGTTTTCGAGTTCCTTGTCAATCATCTCCATAGAGCAGATTTTCAGAGCTCTAGAACATAGAAAATTAATAATGTTATCCTTTCCACCTTAAGTTACCCAATTGTTGAAGTTACTGTATTGTTCTGTAATTGATTGGATTTTCATAATTCCATATTAAAAATGAGTCATCCATCGTCTCCGGATTAAGATAACGTCAAAGAAGTGAAACTTGTAGATAGGTGAGCACATTTGAATTGTTTGAGTAGTTGAACAGTTTTCCTGATAAACATACGTACCATTTATATATACTTTCATGCAAATAGAGATTTAGGCATAATCTCTGTCATAGTCAACTATTCTCTAAACTATCTGTAAAGACATCAGCTAGGTGAGGCACTAAAAGAGACACAGTACTTTTATCCTTCTGGTTACAAATCATACTAATAAGTCTATATTGCACCATTAATGTGCATCTCCATATTAACTCCTTCAGATAATCTGTCGGTATTCTAAAGTCCATTTTAATAAAGTCACAGTGATCACATAGAAAACAGACAACTTCTACTAATGGCACACTTGTAAATAACAAATATCTAGCAAAACAAACGCTTACCGGTCATATTAATTCAATCAATGCAACTTACAAAAGTTTCCTAAAACCTGTTTCTACGAAGACCAAAAAATTCGACAAACCATTTCTTTACCATGATCATAGTTATATATTCCTTTTTTGGTTAACTTCGTCCCTCTTCTCTTTCATTATTTCGTTATGAAACAGCGTAACCTTGATTTTTGGCATCACTAGACTGACTGTAAACCTCTAAATACTAATTTACTTCCTTATTAATCTTTGTAATTCATCCAACTCAACTGTACTACTGTCTTTAAATATAATGTTTTATTTTAACACCCATTTGTCACCTTGGATAGTGTTATTAGAAGACGGAGATTATCTGAAAAGTGTTACACACTGTTAATGGATTATGTTTCTAGCACAGTTCATCGCTTATAAGCGTGTCATTCATATTTCTGTGGTCTCGGCAACATATTTCGCAACTGTCACACGTGTTGGCCAGTTTTGTTTTATCAGGTGACAGTAAGCATCATTGTTAAGCCCCCATACCTCTAACATAATCAATGTAAATAAATATGACCACTGAGAAAATTAAGACCGTGGTTTTGTCTCACATAGAGATAGGTGTTCTCATATTTCAACTATGCGGCTCTTTACTGATTTAAGGATATCCTCACTTGCGATGTTAATAAAGTGTGTACCAATACCGAAGGTTATCCCGGCTGTCATTTTTCTTTCTAAATAACATAAATGCACTAGTTAATGCATTTTAATAAATGTGATTGAGTATGTTGTTGATAAAAACAACTACAACTATTTGCTTGATTTGTGTTTATTTTTTTGCCTCTACAGATGTAACCAATAGCTCATCAGCTGCGGGTTCGCTTATTCCGCGTTTAACTTCTGTTGATAACAAGTGCTGTGATACTGCAAGTCTACGAACTCGACAAACTAGTCAACCACGTGCCAAGGATTTTGGGTTTGACAAGGTTGGAAATTTCAACTGTGCTAATACCAGCAGTAGCACTGCTACATTCCACAATCGCTTAATTACTGACGAATCATGTCATAATCAAAATAGTGCAAATTCAAGCGGTATAACGTCACAGCCTGTATTGTATAATCCACGTTTCTCTCTTGGCAGTATAGTAACAATGAAAAACTTTATGAAATCTTTAGAACATGATAACAAAAACAAATATCATAAAAACAGACTCTCTGATGAGCGAAATGGTTGTGATAATAAACCGAGTAATAGTAAGCGAAATGATGAAGTTCATAACTCAACTGTTTTGCATCTTGGTCCTGTTGCTAATGGAACAGATTCACAAAATGCAGCTGACAAATCGCCCAGTGGAGATACTTTAGAATTTAGAAGTAATAACAATCAAGATTCTGTAAGTACATATCTTGTTCGTTCTTTAATTTTGTAGAATTACCATATTATCTGACAGGACTTCTCGCATCCCTTTTACTATATCAGTTTAATTATTAGAAGATAAAAGCAGACAGACAATATCAACAGAAGATACAGCATTACTGATTAATAATCCCAATTGACACATCTCGAATGCGAGGGCAAGACAAAGATTTAAAAGAAAGGTTATGAAGTTATGCAAGAAAACGAAAGATAGAGAAAGTATAGAAAGGTTATCACAATCCATAAATCCATCTGACCTCATGTTATCTAGAGTCTATAACCGGAGTTTCGCACTCTCCGCCAGATCTGGACGAAGCAACGTATATTCTTAAACTAAGGTTACAGAAGAGGTGCAAAAAGTAGCACTGTAGGAAGCAACTAAATATGAAATTTTAAGTCATTAGTTGGCAACTTTGAAGATTTGTATTTCAAAGTTAAATTTTTGTTGTGTGAAAAAGATAGTTTTATTGGACAATTTTCTACTTCTTATAATAGATTACAATGAATTGTCACACCATTAACTTAGTATTTTCGTGAGAATGCATGTATATGATGTACTTTTATTGAATAAAACCTGTCTTTTCTCGGCTCAGCAAGGCAGAAGGCTGTTAGGGCGATTAGTCCTATTCGGTGTTCCCTGTATATATTGTGTGCATTGGTACATACAGTGTTGTTTCGCTCGTGTCGTACCCCACTCAGGCACATTGGACACTTTTCCAATACCTTTATTGTTATACTGGAAATTGTAAAATGTCTTAATGGTTCAGCTGTGTGAATGCAAACGACCTGTCATGTTTTTGTATTTTGCATTATTATAATTTGAATTCATTTTATACTAGGAGTTTTGCCGTGTTGTAATTAAATCACATGTACTTTTCAGGCAAATGGAAATCAAAACAGTAAACAGATAGACTGTACAACAACCACTTCTGTTAGCCAAGAATCAAAATTTATTGAAAATCCAGTTCTTCTTTCCCCTTGTGAAAACGAAAACCTTACAAATCAACAGAACATTTCACGTGCTGACAGCAACGGATATCTTGAGTCACTAACTTCAGAAGTATTAGATCGTAAATTAAATTCCCTATATCCTAGTCCTCCAAAATATTCGAAATCATTATCTTGTGACCCACATATAAAATCAGTCAATGATGACAAGTTAAAAGATGTCAACAAAAAGTTAGTTTTTAATTGGTAAGTTTTCGTTTTTCCAAATATAATCATCCAACATAAATTGAAGTAACTTTTTATGGGTGATTGGTGAAAAATACTATCTTGTTCCACTCCAAATCCCTATTCTTTTATTATGGACAGCTAATAATGATGATTTTTGGCGATGGTTCTGCGGTGTAACGCTCACAAACCATGCACGTGGTCTGGCCCCCGGCCGGTGCGGGGAGGGGGTAAAGAGAGAAGGTTGAGTGTGAGGATCGCAACCCTTGTTACGAAGGTGACTGAGTCTTAGAACAATGAGTGATGCTTGAATCTTGAAAAGACGAATGAACCAAGAATTTAGGCTTTATTCATTTTACAATGAAGCCGGAATGGCTTAAACATATAAAGGGAAAAAAGAGTGTTAATAGCGGTAGAGATATGAATATGATTAGATACGTATTATAAGAAAAGATCACAACAACCCTACCCACTCAAAATATGACTACTGCTACCGAAACTTCAAAGCTCTAGCTTGGAGATCTACGTCCTACTCGAAACGAAAAGGAATAAATTCAATAATGATAAAAATACTAATACAGGCAGTCTACGAAATAAGAATACCATATTTGATGAGAAGTCCTATTTCAACTTTGCAAAACGTTAACAGTGTATCGTGATAAAGAATTATTTCTTGATAAATCTAGCTGTACAGTGAGTGTTTATGTTTCGAATTATCTTGGTAACTATCTGTAACTCTGATCAGCGTCTCTTCTTTTATCCTGTTATTAGAGCCGTGAATTCAATAAGGGCTACTACTTTTGTCTCTTTATACTCAGTAAGCGACATTTATCGTCACTGCCATTTAAGCCACATCCGACTCAGACGAAAGTCAAATGCATTCAAGGAATGTGCAAAATCTAGTAATTATGGAAACTTTAGTGAGACACAGCGAATACGATGAAATGATAATTCAGTTGGGGTAATTTAATGTGTGTCCTAATTTATGTTCTACAGTGGTGTAGCCGTTTTTTAATTCCTACCTCATATCCTTTATCTAGTATATGTGATTCATCTATATAGTACACTAATCCATATACAATCAAACTACTGTTGAATAAAAGAAAATCTAAATCAACAACCGTGCTCAGTTAAGTGCTGACGTGATGCATAGTAACACTATATGAACTTGGAGAATAGAATGGAGTTCAAACCACCCACTACTTAGTTTACTGGCTTACTACTCAACCAGATTAACGATAGCCGAATAAATAATCTGATAATCACTTGGGACTGGCCCTATTCAGGCAGTTAACCTGGAGTTCTAGTGGGAAGCCGTGACCGTTAGGGTGCAGGAGGTTGAAGGTGAGGCAGTAGCTTATCGAAAAAGACATTGCAAAGTGGGTGCACTATGTCATGAATTGGCAGAAGTTGGAATTCATGCACTGGCCATTGGATCGGGTCCCAGTGACTTAATGGTCTACGACCTCGCCGTGTAACCAGAAGGTCCTGTGTTCGAACTCCGATGGGTGCATACCTCTGAAAAGTCCCAAACTAGGACGAAACAACTGTCCAGTACTCCCAGGTTTCCTAATGGTTCTCTAACTGATGTCAGCTCATGATCAAATCCTCTAACGAATATGCTTGTTGTAGATGAAATCAGTAATATTCATATAACACCAGTGTTCATAGTTTTTCATTACTTATTTCTAACAATTCAGTTTCATTTTTTTCTCACTATCATACTTTCTATTTCTGAATTTATGACAAATAACTTTATAGTTAGTACTAATTTAAACACATTTTCAGGCACAAATGAATGATATAACAAATGTACGAATTTGAGCTTATTTCACAGTAGGAAAAATTCAGCGATTAGGAAAATTAACTCATACAGATGATATTGATAATAACATTTGGTAGCTAACGATGAATTTCTCTTATACATCTCCACTCATATACACTAGCACAGCAGTCAGTAACATTATGGATGAAGACTAATCATACTTCAATCTGATCACCTTGACGTTTCTTCCGTTTTACATTAATTCAACTGATAGCATGCTTTTAGACAGTGAACATAAGCATGCATAATAGCTGAAATTCACAAGCTTTTCAAACTGCAAATCATATCCAATTCGTAATGTAACCATGTTACCAAGATCAAGTTATTTGATGAATCCGTTACACAGAGGTGTATTAGCAAGCAAAATGTAACATCTGGAAATTCTAAGTATGTTTTTGGCTGTATTCAGTTAACTTGTCTGTCTGTCTGTTTTCGACATAGAACTTTGCACAAATGTGCGGAAGTTCAAGTCGCCACATTCCGTGTAGCACGCGAAGCAAGAGAAGAAAGTACAAGAAAAGCATAATAGAAACAGTGAGCAGAGGTGTGAGACAAAGGAGTAATAAAGAAATACAAAACAGTTTCACTGAAGATCATAAGTCACAGGGAGTGGATGCATCTGCGTTAGCCACTGAGAACGATTTTGAGCCATGTCACCAATTGTTTCCAACCATAGATTTTTACCGTCCCGAGGACCCCAGCCTGGAAGTCTACACCTTTCTACGTGGCTTAGACCAACTGTTGTGGATTTCATTGACTGGTGCACAAGTTTTTGTTTGACCGCCGCTAGCTTTTTTCCAGCCTGACCCTATATCCGCTAACATAGCTCGTCGAGGGAGGCGATGACTTGGCATACGTAACACATGTCCTAACCATCTCAGTCTTTGTAGCTTCACGACTTCGTCGATTGATTTCCCCTGTTTACCTAGAACTCTACGCCTAACCTCCATGTTGCTCACCTTATTATGCCACTTTACACGGGAAATAGAACGCAGGCACCTATGATCAAAGACAGCTAGACTTTTCATGTCTTCCACTCTCAGTGGCCAGGTCTCACAACCATAAAGGAGGACGGAGCGGACTGATGAGCAGTACACCCGCCCTTTGGTCGATAGTCGAACATCTCGTCTACGCCAGAGTCGGCGTAAACTAACAAATGCGAAACGAGCCCCTTGTATTCGTGCTGAGATTTCGTCAGAGATCATCCCGTTGGCGGGCTGATGGTACTTCCCAAATAAGTGAAGCGGTCAACGTGCTCTACCACTTCACTTCCTATTTTTAAACTAGGCGTCGATGTAGTCCAGTCCTGTAACATCATCTTGCATTTGGCGGGAGCGAATCGCATGCCAAACATTCGTAGATTGCGGCTCAAGGTGTTTAGAAGACTCTGCATTTCGTCAGCGTCTTCGCCTAGAAGGACTATATCGTCTGCATATTCCAAGTCAACGAGATTATTCCCCGGTAGCAAGTCAATCCCTGAGTCGCTGAAGTCACCTAGGGTTAAGTCCATTAACACATCTATGATGAAGTTGAATAGAAAAGGAGATAATGGGCATCCTTGACGGACACCACTGGTCGTCATCAGTTCAGATGACAGCTCGCCGTAAGCCCTCACCTGGCTGTATGAGTACGAGTAGAGTGCCTTAATCAGTGCAATATATTTTCTTGGAATTCCCTTTACAGCCAAGCATCTCCAGAGAACTTCCCGATCGACAGAGTCGAATGCTGCCTTTAGGTCAAGAAATATAATGACTGTTGGACGCCGGTAGGAATGCCTATGTTCTAGAATCTGTCGGAGGGTGAAGATATGATCAATACACCCTCTTCCTGGTCTAAAGCCTGCCTGGCTCTCTCGTGTTTGTGCTTCCCGAGCACCACTCAGTCTACGCATGATTATTGAGCCTAAGACTTTAGATACTATATTAGTCAAGCTAATCCCTCTGTGATTATCACAGGAAGACTTGTCTCCCTTCTTGTATATGGGGATAATCAGTGACTTACACCAACCCGATGGGACTTCTTCTGATTCCCAGACGCTGCCTAGTACCTCAGTTAATCCAGACAGTAAGCTGTCTCCACCGTACTTAAATACCTCTGGAGTCATTCCATCAGGTCCCGCTGCTTTGCCTAGTTTCAGATTGGTGACAGCTTTAGTAACCTCAGTTAGTGACGGAGGACCTGTGTTTATATCCCATTCAGGGAGGTGTTGGATGCTCGGAAGGTTGAGCGTGGCTGTGGGCAAATTAAACTGCTCCTCATAATGCTCTTTCCAACGATCCAGTCGTCTATCCTGGTGTGGTGAGAGCAGGCCGTGTGAAAATATGAGCAAGGCTGATTCAACAACCAATCACAGCAAAGTTAACGTGGCAAAATATGATTCGCAGATAGAGAACTCTATTTGTCGAGGAATCCCGAAACAACCAATCAGAAGCCTGCGTTTGTCTGCCTAGCTTCTGATAAACAACCAATCAGATGACTGCGCTTGTCTATAATAATGTATGTGAAATATGTATAAATACGTGTTGATTTTCATAATAAAACGATCTGTTGCCTGGCCCTTGTCTTCTGTTGTTACACTGGGAGCTAATTATAGTGCCATTTTTTTCCGAGATTGTCTCACTGATGATTTGTCTTCTCCCACCCGTTTCCCTAATGAGTCTAAATAGTTGCCTGGTGTTGCCTATCCTCAAAGCTTTCTCCATCTCTTTGGCTTTTGTCGCCCACCACTGTTCACGGTCCTTGCGGAGACTTTTCGTAAGTTTCCTTTTGTGCAGCTTTCGCTCCTCATTGAATTCGGAGCTCGCCGGAATAAGTCTTCTAGCATCTATCAGTTCGGATGAGGCGGTGGAGATCCAGTGGTTTTTACTCACCTTTGGGTTTACCTTATTCACAGCTTTTACAGCTGTATCTATGGCTGCCTGGATATTTTTCCAACATTCTTCAGGGTGAACACAGCTGTCGAACACAGATATGTGTTTAGCTAGTTCTTCCTGAAATACGGATTTAGTTTCCTGATCGAGCTGGGGACGTGATGGTTTTACCGCCAGCTGTTTCCTACGTCCGTTCAGTCGTAAGCACACCCGAGCGCGGACCAGTGCATGGTCGGTATCTACGCACGTGTTCCAGAAGGAGCGACAATCTCCTACCGACCCACGCCAACGATAGCTTATTGCTATGTGGTCTATTTGTGTCCAGCGTTGGTTTGATGAAGGGGGTCTCCAAGTCAAACAGTGTCTTTCCGTGTGTTTAAAGTTAGTGCTTACAAGAAACAAATGATTATCTGAACAGAACTGTAGGAGACGGTCACCGTTGTCGGTTCGCTGGCACGGAGCTCCATAGGTGCCACCGACATCCTTCTCAGATTGACACAATTTCCCTACTTGAGCGTTAAAGTCACCAGCTAGAACGACTATGTCTAAGCGTTTAGCCTTTCTCACCAAACTAGACAGCTTTTGGTAGAACTCATCCTTCGTTTCATCTGAACTGCAGTCAGTGGGGGCGTAGGCGGAGATTACGAAAAGGCATCGGCGAGTAGTGCAGTCCTTCCTCCTTCTTACTGATCCGTTCAGGCGGACAGCACACATTCGGCTATCTACCGGGATCCAGTCAAGCAATGTCTTTTCTGCCCTAGTACTCAAAGCTATCCCTACGCCAGCTAATCCTCGTGAACTAGCTGTGGCATCTCCTAACACCCTCAAGGTGAATTTCGCAGATTCAACATGTTGGCCAGGTGGGGTTAGGTGAATAACCACACTTGGGTCTTGTATGCGTGTTTCTGAGACACAGCATACATCAATGGCTCGTGATGCCAGGGTCTTGGCTAGTGATGCTTGTTGTCCTATTTGGCAAAGTGTCCTAACATTAGGAGCTCCTATATGAAATTGGTGGCGTGGCTTTAGGAGACTATCGGTGGTGGTTTTTTGGCTTCCATCGTTTTTAGTGGACGCAGAGTGGAGAGGAAGTGAAGAGCTATCAAGTCGAGGAGTTGCATCAGTGGAAGGAAGGCAAGATGATAGAGATGAAGATGAAGACAAAGATGAGTGAGTAATAGAGAGGTTTCGTGTGCATTTCGGATTGTGAGGGCGATTGTTACTTCCCGGCTGCCCACACCGTGGAAGTTGGTTGCGTGACCGCAGAGCCCAGGGGACAACTGCTTGAGGCCGGTCACACGCGGCCTGTTTTTGTTCGTTCTTTTTTGTTTGGTGTGTCTCAGTAGCAGATTTATCACTCCTGCCCTGTGACACGGCAGCAGGAAGCGCGTTCGTTGTTAATCCGGGCCACGGCCGATCCGGCATGAAATTTTGTGATTTTGTATTGGACATGATGTTGGATTGGGTAGCTGCTTTTTGTTTAACCGCTATCCAAACAACCTGCCTGGCATGGTAGTACCTCAAGAGACATAAGTCTCAGCCAGTATAGCTTGAATAGATCATTGCGGTGTTCAAGCCCGACCACCACGTCAAGGTAGCAGCTTTGTATAACACAAAACAACACGGGTGTTGATTACCTAATTTTTTTCCTAGACAAGCTTGGAGTTTGTTTAAGAAACAATTTATTATGTAAGGGGAATCCATATATTAAATTTAGTGCCAATCTTTTTCAACCACTTCAATTAAAGTCTTTAACTTTGACTCCTAGCATTGTGAGGAGTTCAGCAAAGCAACGTACATTATTCCAAGTTATTTACACTAACAGTGAATGACTACAGAATTCGTGACATGCTTTGACTTGACAACTTTTTCAACACCCCATGATGTCGAGGAAGATGGTGTTTCATCATGTTTAAATATGTTTAAGGGATCTGAATTGACAGAGATTTACAACTCCAGCTGCCTTCATAGTATAACTAGCTTCACTATGAAATGAATCTGAAAACCAATCGATATAAGAATCTGGGAAAGATATGATGGTAGGAAGATGTGTTTTTCTACCAACCCATGTTCACTATTAATGAATCTATTGTTATCACATTGCTTTGATAGATACGGAAGGACACAACTTTCCATCTGCATATGTTGTCCGATCCACCTAGATGTCTTTCAAATTCTGCGATTACACATTTATTTTCCGTCATACATGAATTCTCACTGAGAGCGTGGGAGTAGAGCACAGATGTTTTCACGCAAATTCTAGGTGTATAAACTAAACCCATAGACTTTAATAATTGATTAGTTCACTGAATAACCGCAGAGTTGTGGTTCAGTGCTATAGGTAGCAGACTAAAAATTGTCAATTTAGTGATCTGAACAATTCCGCATACATAGGTCTAAACAACTGGTTAGTATAATAAACTTTCTTGTGATGCACTGAGTGTTAGTTAAAGTGAAGTTGTAGTTCGCAGATCCAGATTAACACGTGGTTAATACACTTAAAGTTAACTTTACATAATACAGTTCGGTTACGTAAGTAACGTCATTATCCTCACATAATACACGCGACTCATCGCTCAATTCATGAAAGTGTATACTCTAGTATAGTTTAGACAGCCGACAATGTTTCCAAACTGACTTACTTGTATATAAATAAATTCCCATTTGTGACAGTAAATATTCTGTAAACTAGCCAAACGTTCAGCTTCGAATCCGGCTAACTCTAGTCTTTGTTTATTTTGCATAGTGCGTTTACACAAGTATACAGCATAATCTGCAGTATCTGCTTCCATGCATCGACTTGGGTAAAGAAAAGGTGTTTGAAATCTGTAATAAGTATGCCCATCATTTTTAACTGTCAGCACATGGTCGTCAATGCAAAAAATGTAGCCCATAGACGCAATACGGCTAGCAAGATGAACTGCTTCAGTAACATCGCTAGCACCAGTGTGTTCCATCAACCAGTGAACGATATCACTACCTGTGAATGTACTGTAACAAAGACAATCAAATTTTGGGGCAGCGTAGCTTAATTATAAGTATAAAAAAGTTATATAAGTTCCAATGTATAAAAAGTTTTCCACTCGTTTATGTAGGGATGAGCAGTAGTAGTAGTAAGAAATCTGTCCTGTGTTTCGTAACTTTCAATGGCTTTTTCAGTTATGACTTGTCCTATTAAATTTATTAAATGCGTTGTGTTTAGTCACCAACTTGCATCTGTTTTCTTTTCTTTTTTTTGTATCCATGTAGTCATACAAATGAACAACAATCAGAATTACCACCAGCTACTGTTCAAGATGATTGGGATATTGACTGGCATATGTTCCTAAATGAATTGATTTGGAGTAGTTTGTGTGGTCCCGACGCTTTTTCGAATATCTCATGAAAGTATATAAAATTAGCTTGTATACAGACACTCATAAGTTACCTTCTTTCAAAATAGTCGTCTGTTTGACCCGTTTATTATATTCTTTAGTTTGTTTAGCTTATTGCCTTGTACGTGTTACTGCTTCTGTATGTATGTTTCAGTGTAACAGGTTATAGTGTCCAGTTATATCTGAATGTATGCATTGATCGAAGACAATGTGAGCTAACCACCCTTCAAATATGCTATTTCCCCTTTTTGAGTATACTACACGGGACGAATTAAAAGTAGCAATAAATTACACTCCTTCAATGTGTATATAAATATGTGTAATATTTTTGTTATTACAGCAATTCCATACCTTCGTCTATCGGACAATCTATCTTTATAATAATATGTTGTACAAGCAAGATTTGTTATTGGAACTAGTATTCTTAAAATATTTGCGAATGGCTGTAATGGTTACTTATTTTTGTGTCTGTCTGTGTGAAGAACTGATTCCGTTTTTTTTCCAGTGTTCATCATCATGTGATCGCCTGTTATTGACTTTCAATACTCTATCTCTCTCTGTGTCTAATTTCTCTATGATTAACGGGATAAGTCGAGAATAAAAATGGGTGGAAAATACTACCATCTCTCTTAAATGTATAAAATAACCCCCGTGTTATGCTTGATATGTACACCCACATACTTTAAAATTATTCTTGAATAAAATATCAAATATTTGAAGTGGAATCTTATTTATTATGTATTTAACCAGTAACCAGTTGGAGGATACACGAAATGATGTACCGTTAAATTTATGTTGGAGTGGTTGGAAAATTGTCCTGATGTCTAGAGAAATTAGTGAATAATATTCTACTTGTAAATGTATGTATGCTACACATACATCTTCGAAATGAGGTAACAGCAAATCATGAACAAGTTTTAGTTTGAAACTGTCAAAAGAAACAGGTTCGATATTTTGGCATTCTAATATTATTATTGTGAACCATATTAGTTGTAAAGCGGTTGTAGAGAAACTACGAAATGATATTATCTCGCGAAATTTGTCTTCTAAATGGCTTACTCAAATTTATCAAAGGGACTAATCGCTTTAATGTTAATTTACTACTATTATTATTATTAGTTTTAGTAGTACTGTAACGACAGAAGACAAGGGCCAGGCAACAGATCGTTTATTGGGAAAATCAACAGAAATTTATAGATTTCTATATACATTATTATTCGTTATTGTTAGCAGAGAAGCAACGTCTTCTGATTGGTTGTTTTCCCGCTGAAGGTTATTCTATCATCTCTTTATTGCCGTTTCTTAGACAGTCCGGTGATATATCTGCTAGTCGTATCCGCCCACGTTAAGTCTGCTATGAATGGTTGGTGAGTTCATCAACGTTAGGCTTTATTCTTGTTTTTTCTCATGACCCCTATTCGGAAAGTAAACATTGACGTCAATTGTTCTCTACAATTTTGTCTTGCAGACAGCTCTCATCACAATACTACTACTAATACTACTAATAAGTGGTATTGCGCTGAAATTATCAGTTACTCATAAACATTACGTATATGTTATGCGGAGTCCTTCGGATGTAACTTCTTGAAGTATGGAATTCACCCATAAATTAAATTCTTAAGAAGTCATAGCTGCTTAGTGGTTATTTCCCATGTTGTATGTATATTTATGCAAAGCACTTGAGAGTTCCTGATTCATAAAGCGATACGTTATATGCTTACTATATATTCTTACGAGATCATACAGAATGGGAGCTTTGTTAAAATAAACTATTTGTGTTCATATAATAGTCGAATACTAGTTGATACGATCAGTTTTCGTTGATTGATGAGTTTGTTTTTTCAGACATTTTTGTTAGTTTCAAGCGTAGACAACTAGACCATGCAAGAACACGTGCCCACATCCAAGAGAAACCAGGATCCATTTTATTAAGGGTAATTTTGGGCGATACTTCAAAATAATACATCGAAAGTCATAGTAATGAAATACTTTCATAAATACATAAAGTAATGAAAACAACTCTACACTGTATCACATGCATAAATACAAGATAGAATTAGTAAACAGTAAGTATCGTTCTGTCATCTAGTGCATAATACTTTTTGTGAAGATGTCGTTTAATGGCTTCAGGAAATCGACTTTAAATTAACGGATTCCAGATTTGAAACCTGCTTAACCCCTAGATAACTGGCTATTGCACATTAAGGTGTGGCTCGTAGCCTAGTACACTGAAAAAAAATCAGATAAGGTATTAAGATCGAGTAAACTAGTTAAATAACTGACGAAAGTTAGTGCACGAATCAAAAAATGAAGGTTAAGAATTGCAAGATAGAAGTAAAGATGGTTCACATACTTACACTAGATAAGTAGCGCAATTCACGTATGTTACAACCTGTGGCTAGAATTCGATAAGGCAAAACTTAGGAAAATAATACCCAGGATATTATATATATATATATGTCTCAGCAGGACTACCGTTTTTATCCAAATAGATATGCCTATTTTTCATGGTCGTCAAGATCAGTAGTGATACATCGCGGTTGAGCTATTTAATTGACCAAACTAATTGTTCGAGTTTTAAAAGATTTGAACTTTGTTGTAGGCCTAACTGGATAATATGTTTGGTTCACAAGCTGCATGTATGCCAGACGGGTGAAATAGTTAGCACTCGTTAACATATACTTCAACCCGTGTTAGTGATCAGTTTTACGGACAAAGATGACCTTAGCTTAGAAAAACCTTATGTTCGGGAACTGAACTACTAAAAGTTAAATTTGTCAGGGGATTCAGTGAACACTTCAGCCTTAAACCACTTTCAAAACACTGGAACATAATCATTTGATACTAAGGAAACTTTAACACTGTAAACCAGAATTAGTGTATTAAAAACCGATTCCTGTGGATGATATATCCAAAGTTACATCGCAGTGTGGCTACGCCTTATGATTATGGAAGTAGATGACTTTGTCACCATTACTTCGGCAGTATTCCAATGGCAGTGTATATTACTAGGTAAAGCTGCAAATCAGTTGGCGGTAAGTACTCACTGATAAGTAAAGCACGTTTAAGCAGAGTAGAGTGAACGTTATTTTTCCAGTAGGTCAGTCAGAAGATTTAAAGTAAACGGATCAACACACGACATTAATTTGTCACATCAGAGCTGATTGAGGAACTATCGAGTTTCTAATAAAGCCCACTGAACAACAGACTCGTTGGAACTAATAGTTACCGATGAAAATACACGCCCGCCCATATTTCGAACATCTTATTTATATACGTCCTATCTTTTGTATGCTTATTTCCGCTGGTATTTTCTTACTGTCACATACAGCAAGTGCCTAAATGACTTACAACATTCTAAGATATTGGTGTCGGTCTACTCACTACACGCATCATTTCGACAAATCTTTGTCAACTACTGCTCTCTTTTTGATAACTGAAATTATTTCATTACTTTGATGGATAAGAATGTTATATTTTTATGATATAAGCTAGCTGTCTATTATTTTGGACGTAGAAATACTGTGTGATATAATAAAAGTACGGATTTACTACCCGAAGCAAATGTGGCTTAAGCAATCTGTCTTCAGCCAGGTCTTAGGTTCGAATCCCACCCCAACTTTTTCAGCCTGAACAACTGGGTAGTATCATCTGCCTTCATAAACTAATTGTGTGGAACGCCAAAGATATGTTTCAGGTAACGAAGTTTAAACAAATTGCTGCGTTGAAATCTCCGAGGCAGTAAAATTCACAATATAATGCGTTTAAACATACAAACAAAATCTCTTCTGACTTTATTCGCTAAAAAACTACGGTTTTTACATGATTCTCTAACACGCTTATCATATAAGGGTCTTTTATGTACTGGTAATGGTTACATCCACTAAATTTTTTTACGAAAGGACATAAGTTCTTAACCCCATGAATAATATCAACAGAGGCGAATATATCAATAAAAATGTTTTATCTAAATAAAATACAAGGAAACTAGACATTTCCTAAATTCATTACAGTTACAAACGACCTATTTTTCAGATCTGAAGAAACCTTTCTCAAAAGCTTCGGGTTCAATTTTATATACAGAGTACATAAGCATTGAAATTGTGAATACTTGGCCCAAAGGACGTAGTATCAATAAACGCTGGAGTTCTTTGCCTTTGGCGTAATAACAGCGAGCAAGCACACCCCCAGTGAAAACAAAGCCTGAAACGAAAGTTTTGCAAACATTTCTGCGTATTTCTTACCCACAATAATCAGTGGATTTGCCTTAACCATCTGCTTAAGACGGTTTAATCCTGTAGGTCTTTCGTGATTTTTAGCGCGTAAAGGATTATCCATATTAAAAATTCAAACGTAACTTAGACAACTAGAAACGACTCTCCTGACATAAAGGACCTATAACACAAAAAAATACTAACGATTAGTAAATCTCTTTCAGATTCTTTTTGAAGATAAATGAGCGTGAAATGATTACTAGGCAAAATAAACACAATACTAACTGCTATTAATTATTAACGTCAAGTTAACTAGCAACACAGTTTAAGTTAACTAAATTGAAAACCATGTATCAGTAAATTTGACAACAAGAATAGGAACGAATAAACTTTGCAAATGCTTAAAAATACACTTATAATGAGAATTCACCGAGTTTCGGAAGAAGGTAAGACATGAATACAATTTGTCGAGAAATATATTGATTTGCAATAGTAATTTGATTGAGTAATGATTTGCTTTATTCCAAAAACAGTACTTATAGTAGTGAGGAATTCTCAATATTCGGCACAACATTCCACCTGACTTGCTCGACAACAGTAGGAACAAAAATTGCATTACAGGGTAAAGGTAGCTACAGTTGATAGTAGCAGCTTCTTGGTATTATTAGTGACAATAAAGTCAAAAACGTACGAAAATTGTAAAATGATAATAATAATAATGTTAAGAACTGAAATTATAATTTAATTGAAATAGTGTCACTACAGGTTACAAATAGAAAACAAGTCATTTATTTTGCTAATCACACTTAACAAAATCGCATAGAACGTAGGACAAATAGGGTATCACTGAGTTCATGTACTTGGTTGTGCGATCATATAATCTTTTATACTGACCTAGGTTCTACGTGCTGAGATGCAAAGGGGAAAGCTGTGAATGGAGTGTTCAGATTCAGACAATACAGATTTAGACCATTCCTCACATGAATTCGTGTCTGTTGACTACAACAGTAACTAGCTGACTAAGTGGCACACCACTTGCACTACTGACAACCATTAATACCCTGCGCGATTTGACATGATCGTTTCTGAGTATTCCAGGAAAGACTACGACGGAGCAGTAAAGTACAATAGGTAGGATGCAAGAGTTAGCAAACTGTAAAATTAGAGGTTGAGTGATTCCTAACTGTAATAACTTCTTCATGTAGTAGGTTAGATGGGATAGGTTAGAAATAGACAAGATATCGGATGACCAAGAAATGTCAAAAGATAGAACTATTCCAAGGTATTTTATGCTGGACTTAGCTTCTTTCTCAGTGCACTCTACGCTAAAAGCATTTTTTGAACGGACTAGTTCACGTAGATTACATTTATATCTAAAGGTGCAGTTTACTGTATGACATTAAGAGGAATTTAAGGTGAGAACATTTAGCTTGAACCAGTGGTTAAAGTTTGATAAAAAGCTATTTTCGAAATATAGTTAGAATATCAAGATTATGTTTTAGATGTTTTCAGGCTTCTATATTGGGTTTTACAATTTTTTCTACTAGAAATGTGATTCGTGACCAGAAGTGAACTCAAAGCTTTGCTAATATAGGGCTGCATACACCTAAATGTCAACTAGAAAACTATGTTTAAAAATAGCCCTACAGAATCCAGACATCCAAATAACATTAGGAAGCAAAGCCATTCGAATACCTAATGTCCAACAATTACTTGCGGGTTTATGAATCAGAGCAATCTACTCGACAAGTACAGCATTTTTCGCAGCTGCAATATGAAGGCGTCAGCTTCCTTAGAGTGGAAAAGTGAACACAAACTACATAGTATGAGTAATTTAAGAATCTCCCGTAGAAATCACACATTCTCATAGAACAATGCCACCAGAATTAAAACTACATATGAAGAACAAACACGACTAGACTGAAGCACTATACCAATTAGAGATGCTACTGACTACTGATTCAGGTTGTTGAGGCAAATATAGGTCATTTCTGTGGCATCCAAGGCAACCAAAACGAGTGACTAGTAGTTACAATAGCAACAGAGAAGCGACGAAGTTAATTAGCAAAGTTTTTACGTGCTGGGATGTTGGCCACGTTTTGTCTACTGATGCTATCCGACGACTCTAAATAATGTCGAAATGAAATTCGATTCCAACCATTTCTACTCAAAATGTAAGATACTAAATCAACTAGACACATCTTTGCAAGTGCCAGCCTCCAACGAATCTAACACTTCTAGCACCATGAAAAATGTTAACTAAGAATAAGGTAAGTAAATGAAACCAAGATACTCCACCCCCGTTGGTATTGCTGGACCACTATACATCACGATTAGGCAAAATCAATATATTGTAGCAAAAACCACAGTGATATTTAATAACCAATCGGAATTCAGATGCGAAAGAAGTTGAATAATCGTTGAAAAATAAACTTAAAAAATTGCAAACTTGACGTTACATAGTTTAGCGATAGCTTGTGTTGTACGAATGTCTCCCAGTTAATACACAGATGAACTATAAAGAAATCGTACCATGTGCGATATTCACCCAGGTGACTGTAGGTCATGTTACCTTGAGAACCACTGATGTTTCTGACACTATTCTCCAACATACTCCTAACTCTATCCATAATCCTAATTTTAAACATAAACCTTAATCTTAGGGGCCAAAACACTACATTTATATAGTGTTATAACAGAAAAAATTTGCAGAAAAGTACCTAAGAAACAAGTAGAATACTGTAACTACCCTCTCCAAATCCTAGAAGTGAGGCGTGGCTTGATTTGGAATGACCTTAGCATTCAGTGTCTGATACTTTTTTGAAGTAATACTTCGGAAGATTTCGGCTTTGGTCATGATACTCCAACTTCGCCGGATTTAATATTCACTCGAAAGATAATAATCTAGGTGAGACACCTGGAGCCACAATTGCACCTAGATCTTACGACAGAATTCAGTGAGAGGATGAATGTTAGGGCTAACCCTTAAAGGGTTTACTTTATAAAATCAAAGATTACAACCACTCCCTGGTGTTATATACCAAACGAATAACTAACAATCTTCGTTTCATAACTTCGTCAGTACTTAAATAAACTTTGTTTAGAGCCCATTAGATCATTTAGTTGGTTTCATTTGAACCTACCTACAACAGTTTCATTCTACTTATTACATTCCCTGGTAGATTTAACTTGCATGGGATCGCAAGTAAATTAAAAACCCATTTGCACAACGAAAATGCGATGAATAAATCCAGATTCATCACTTTCAAGGGGAAGTAATCAACCAACCAATGTAAATTTTGTGAAAGTTACGTCAAGCACGTAAGACGCGCCATCAAACCATTGCAACTCCAATATCCAATATCCTGATGACGAGCTAGTATAAACCAGTGATTTCTTTGAGCTCGCTTCTTGATTGTGAGGTAGAGGTTCCAGATCTTCGGTGAGCTTCTGCGTAGTAAGTCCCGACACTCGACTGCTTTAGCTCTGGTAGACTCCAGGAGGAGTGGTGCGGGGATTGGTCGAGATGTGGTTTGTAGTATGCAGTATGTTAGGACTGTATTGCTGCCGTGAATGGAGTTTGACCTAACTCCCCTTGGTCATTCGGTGTAGTCATAAAAGCAGAATAGTAATAATAATAATAATAGGTTGTAGTGTAGATAATATAGGTTGAGATAAGTGGAATAATAAAGGTGACATAAGGAAAAGATAGAGTGAGAGAAGGCAGAATAGGTCGTGGGGATTTAGTTAGTACGCTTATTCATTGACAGTTTGGTTTCAAATTTTATGAGGATAAGCCATTGAGACACAAACCTTGCATTTCTGCATGATTGTCTAGCTTCCGCTTAAAAATCTCCACAGATGGCGCTGTAGTCACGGCCGCCGGTAAAGCGTTCCAGAGACGGCAAACACGAAGCGAAAAGAAATGTGATCGCACTCGAGTCTTTGGTCTCTGGTGTGCTATCCTTAGCGGGTTACCTCGTGGAAGCCTATAATCGCTTAATGGCAGGATGCTTTTATTTGGGTGGGCCTGGTCATTTAGGATCTTGTAGACGGTGATGAGGTCTCCCCTGTGCCTACGGTAACTGAGTGTGAAAAGACCTAATTTCTTTAGTCTTTCCTCATATGATTTGTTGCGGAGGCCGATCACCCATTTTGTCGCTCGTCTCTGGACACTTTCTAGAATGTTAGCATCCCTTTTGAGTAGCGGAGGTGCAATGATATTATGCACCTCAAGGTGTGGCCTCACATATGCCTTGTATAGCCTTAAGAACAGTTCGGGAGTGAGAGCTCCCAGCTGCCTGTGCATAAAGTGTAATGTTGCGTAGGCTTTGGCGACGTCCCTCGAGTAATTTCCACTGGTGTCTAGCTTTTCTGTTAGAATAAGACCTAGATCACGCTCTGATGGAACACAACTCAAGTTCTGGCCACCAAGGGTGTAATTTACACTCTGTGACCTGCCGGAATGAAGCTGCACTACTTTGCACTTCTTTAGATTGAAAGGCATTCCGTTAGCCAAAGCCCAATTTCCCAGAGTTTGCAGGTCAGCCTGCAATCTATCTGAGTCTTCCGATGAGTTTATTGCTCTCCAAATCTTTACGTCGTCAGCGTAAAGAAGCGCAGAGCAGTTTAGTTGGGGGGGCAGGTCATTGATAAAAATCAAAAACATCAACGGCCCTAGGATAGAACCCTGAGGAACCCCTGATGCCGAGGTGTGCCAAGATGATCGGATGCGGTTGACTTTGGTGCAGAATTCTCTCTCGCCTAAGTAATCTGTCAGCCATGCGAGAAGTGCTCCAGAAACTCCCGCCTTGCCTATTTTGTGAAGGAGCAGACCATGGTGAACTGTGTCGAATGCTTTCGCAAAGTCGAGAAAGATCACGTGGGCTGGTACCTTTTTGTCCCAGGATAGTGTCCAATCGTTCCAGGCTAGTAGAAGATTCGTCACGCAGGATCTTCCCCTCCTGAAACCGTGCTGTGCTTCGTGAAGAAGGTTAGTCCCATCGAAGTATTTTCTCATGTGGTCGTCAATGAGACTTTCCAATATCTTCGATACCACTGGAAGTAGAGCAACTGGTCTGTAACTGGTCACATTCTGCCGGTCACCACCCTTGAAGATAGGGG